CAGGGCGCGATTCCATGCGGGATAGAATTTTGCCTTTGACTGGTATTCTCAATGCTGTTGTCAGGTGCCCCAGCTCAAGGTCTCGGAGTACCCTGTGGAGGTGCCGGGCCTTTACATGGAGGCAAGGGAGGGATAGTCTCCAGAACCCATATATTGGGATCCCAATCAAGAGATGGCAATAAGCTGTCCTGTGCTCCACTCATACTCCTAGTGTCCAACGCCATCTGATTCTGAGAAGACCGCATTTGCGACTTTGCTGGACATGGTTCTTTGAACGTCCAGCATCATGGGCAGCATGCATTGTGCAGGCGGAGGCGGTGTTTGGGTATCACGACCCTGAACAGTTTGACCAGTTTCAAGATCCAGGCCTGGACCTTCACGTCATTCGTGAAGAAATCCCAGCTCAAGGGATGGCCTTGTTTAGGAATTCGGAGTGTTGCTCCAGCTCCCCTGGAGCAAACTCCCTGCTCCTCGAAGATGCCCCTTTGTTAAGCCTTGCATGTTCCTCCTTTGAACAGTTTTGACCTATTGTACTTGTAACAATTGTTGAAGAAGGATCGTATTAAAGCTTTTGCAACTGTGGGAATCCACTGCCTACTTGGGGGACATGCCATGCAAATTTGCTGCTTTGAAAAATTTAGCCAAGCTGCTTTCCAAACTAAGTTGTGCCTGTTCTCTTTGGAGCCAAGCCCCGCATTTGACCAAGGATGGTCATATCCGGTCTTTTGGCCAAGCCTCTGTCTCAGCATGTGGGCCTTTGAAGCCCATGGTTTCCTCATGCACACACAGCATTAAGCTCAATGTGCCCCGGATGGTGTTTGTCCGTTGGCGCTTCGCCCAGGTGACAGCCCACTGCCCAGCGTTGAGTCGGATTTTCCTGAGGCGCTGGCTGAGAAGATGCTGGGGATTCTGAAGCATATCGTTCAGGTTGTGTCTGTGTCCTTCTGCAGAACATAATGAACTTAGCGGCCCCTGTATCTGAGCCTGAGCAAGCAGATGGTCGTGCTCATACTGCGGAGCTGTTTGTAATCTGGTTTCCCAACACGGCCAAATCCTATGCAACCAACTGCTAGTTCTTACTTCATAATCCCAGATTCATGTTCGTATACCATAATCTCTGTCATATGCTACTGGGTTACATAGGCTTATATAGGCTTAATGATACATCCAGAACGGCAGGTCGTCCCTGGCTCCCGCGAGGGCGAGTTCGTTGGGCACCGGCCTTGAACAGAGGAAAGCGTGTAAAAACATGTTAAAGAACGGGGCTACCCTCAAGGAATCGTGGTGTTTAGGTGTTAAGCAAACTTCTGGGTCTCTTTTTTTCTGATCTAACGATGTCCTGGACAGAAACTCTCACATACCTTGCGTTCTGCCATGCTAGGGGGTTGAAGTTCATGCCAGAGTGATTTGACACTGCGCATCTTCAAAATGCTTGCCTCTTTGCAGTCGCAGAGACTTTGTGCCGTGGCTCTTCAAGAGAGGATCACCCTTTACTGTGTTTACGTAGGATGTGATGCAACGCTCAGGCTTCAGAGCATAGCCGAGATGGGCGAGTGGATTGTATTCCGCGAGAAGAAGCCAAAAGCAAGGCAGGATGGCCAAAGCTTCGAGTATCTTCGAATGCTTGGTAGCAGCACGTACCAGCCCATGAGATACAGCAATATCGTTGATGAATTGCACCCAATTCGCCCTGACCAAAGAGGATTTTGAGTACAGATGAATAGAGTCGAGTCAAATCGCGCCTGAACCCATGACCCTAAACCCCAAACCTTACACCCTTTAAATGCGGTGCCACGCAAGTCTGGGCACATTCGTCCGTTGGCAGCTTGTTGAGGCCTTTCTTTTGGAACATGACCACTGGAGAGAAGTCGTGGGAAGCCCCTGTGATCCTCCAGGCGCCTGCTCCTCTGCTTGAGAGCTTCGCATTCGAGAAGACTACTTGATGAGGGGTTCTGTCCGTGCCCAGGGAGCCACTGGCACTAGTAGACTACGTCTCGGGTCTCTTCTTACCAGAGATTTTTGAGGAGCTTGGCGTGGCAGACACCCTGCTGAAGTGGTCCGAGGACACTGCTGCACACTGTCGGGAAACATCCATGGATCTTGCCCCTGCCACGTTCGGCCAAACCATCAAACCTCAGGTTGCTAAACACTGATGGCGCAGACTTCGTTTCATCAGCTGTGCCGCAACAAGCAGCTGCGGAGAAATATTCACACGTTCTACGCTGGGGCATATTTTGCAAGCTTCCGTTTGGTTGGAGAAATAATGTGTCCAGCTAGAATAGTAAGAGCGATTGCTAGTAAGTAATCTGCATTGACCATTTGGTGCCCCTCACTGGCAGGACTTGGGCGAGACAGGCATCGAACCAAGTCCAGATGCTCGGTGCCTGGAGTGCAAAAGAACTAGTGCAAATGGCGTATGAGGATAAATCGAATGCTCAAGTTGTTGGTGTGCGCTTGTGTGTGGAGGGTTTCAGGGGGCTGTTGATATGCCTTCGGGTCTAGAAGTCACGAAAGTTTTTGATGTCCTTCGTGAGGGGCCTTCAGCGAAGAAAGCCCCGTTCCTGTAGGGGACCCGTTTGGGGGCTGAAGCCTGGAAACGACGACTTACATAGGAGCTGATGCAGTCCACCCTGCTGCGGGGCAACTGCAGCACCAAGGCTAGTTAAAACAAAAGGAAAAGAGCTGCTCCATACAATGCAGCTGCAGCGATGTTCTGCAACCGGTTTTCACAGGTGTGGGGCGAAGCCTCCATCTGTCAGTGTTCTAGGAAACCCCCATTGTTTACTATGTAATTACTTATAATAATCCCTTCAGGTCAGAAATCCAGAGCCTTTCCGTCGTCGAGACCGCTTCAAGCCAAAAGCAGGCCGACTCTTCTTTCTGTGCCTTCATGCAAAAGGGGGTTTCCCAAAATTAGGGGTACCATATTGGGAGGTCCCTACAATCCCTAATTTGGGGAACTTCCAAATTACTCTTTGTTTTGTTGTGACAGGTGGCTGGCCTGAGTCTCACTAGCACGCTCTTGATCTCCGCGTCTGCAGCCGTGTAGTGGCTCGATTTGCAGATTACTGCAGGAGTCGGGATAGATGTGGGTGAGAGCTAGGCTCGCAATAGCAGAAAGTCTTCAACAGAGAGCCAGCTTTCTTTGGCAATGTTCAAACTACACATCTCTCAGGCCAGCAGCGGCATGTAGCCCAGCCAAATCCCAAAGGGAACAAGGCAGCCGCACGAAATGGTGTCGCAGTCGCAACTTTGGCGTGCCTTCTGCAGAGCACGCTGCCCGCCAATCGCCATAGGGGTGGTTGTGGGCCTCCTCTTTGCATTTCGACCGCTGCCGGAGAGGGCTCCTCACACTGCACAAGGATTTAAGAATGCCGTTGCCAAGAGAGTCGGGTTAATCCAACTCCTCAGACTTTGGCGCATGGCTTCACCTGGCAGCTGTTGCCTGTGAGGCTGAAGTCCATGCAGCCAACGTACCAGGACACGTCTTCCCAGGACGTGAGTCGTACAAACCGTGCACCTTCGCTGCTGGCGAAAGCTAGCCACGGGTGGTGAGATGCCTTGCCCATCCTTGCCCATTGAGGAGATCCCCAGATTTACACTGATGCCCACGACCCTCCGCGCTTCACCTTGAAGCACAACAGCAAGGCTCTTGCACTAGCCATGCTAAGCATCCCACGGGCAAAGCTGATTGAGTGCAGGCTGTTTTGACTGACTTGTGGAGCCAAAGTTCAGAGCCACAACGCAGCCCTTTGTCGCTGACCTCATCAGGCTGGTGGAACGTTCACGAAGGTACTGCTTAAGGCGGTCTTCAAGAACAACGCCGCTGGGTTGAAGCGGCAGACCTTTGCGCAATCTTGTGGTGGCAATCTGCTACTATGCATAATGTAGCTAGAAGATGCCAGAAGATTCAGTGCAATTTCATGGTCCGGCATGTAGCGTAACTCAGACACTACTCATTATTTAGCCCCGATATAAATCGAAAAGTTTCACTGTTAGAGCAACAGCACTTGGATGCGCCACAAAACAAAAACTTAGTCTCTGCAGCCTGGCAGTCATACCTGGATTACATCGATGATGACAACGTCCTGCCGCCCTTGCTCAAGACTGTGAGCTTTGTGGCGGTGCCTTCGCTAGAAATGGCTCCTCAAGTGCTTGTCAGCCCTTCTGGCAGACTTGTTGGGAAACACTTGCATCCTGTAATCTTTGAAAAGGTCTTGATGCGGAACCCTTGTTCCTGGAACGTTGCTTGGGCGAACGAGTGCCCCACCAAGGCTGGCCAGCAAGCTGCAGCTTCGTAGTCTCATGCTTCAAGTGCCAAAATTCTCTCATCCTGCCACGTAGCGCGGGAGCATACACATGGAGCAAAGCAAAGGAGCTGCAGCAAGCAAGGAGTCAAGGGTGGGGGAGATGGAGCAGTTTGGAGCCCTGAGAAAGCAGCCAGGTAGCACCGCGCAAGGTTAGCAGGGCCTGATCTGCGTATGTCGGACTCCTGTCCCAAAGTCTGGACCCACAAAGATTGCTGTAAACAGTCTCCACTGCCGAAAGGCTTTCGACTTTCTCCGCCCAACTTTCGGCCCCAACCCTTTTTTGCCACGGGGCCGCTTGACTTCAATGGTTTTGCTGACGCCGCCGCAGCTTCTTCCTAGTTTGTTCGCCAACAGCTCTTTTCTGAGGCTACCTTGAGCGGCACACGACACAGCAGGACAGGCATTCAGCAAGGCCTGTTGGCAAGAAGCTGCCACTACAGCTGCAGGAGTTTCAGCAATGGGTGCTCAACACGCGCTCCCCAGACGGGATTGGCGTGATCAGCTTCTACCTGTGGCAATCCATGTGGCTTCTGCGGCATCAACTTTCACTTGCCTTTTGAGAAGTGCTGTTGCTCTCGACTGTCTGCCTGTGCTTGCACCATGCTTGGAGTCTCTACCATTTCTCTGCTGATTTCGCCTGATAATGCTCAGCCAAGACTTGCGCCAGAGTGCCACTTATGGCACCAGAAGATGGCCGCCGGCAAAAACATGCATCCAGATGCTTCACCCGAGAGGTGCAACAGCAGCGTGGCTTGGCAGCATACGCAAGTTGCTACATAATGCAATCAGCATGCTCATGCGCTAGAATCTGAGTGAGGCCCGCATCCGCCAGGACCTTGCCGCTGCCGACCCACGAAAGCTCGCGAATCCCGACTGATCCGGGATGACTGAAACAAGTTTGGACATTGGTTAGGCATTCTCAGCGCATGCGAGCAAAGACATCATGTGGTAGCTTTGCACAGTCGCAGCCTTGCCCCGCTGCAGCAATAACCTTTGATTTGCTGAGGCATTGTTGGATATTCCAAGAGACACTGATGGAAGACCTGAGGGAGTGCCTCCATGCTTATGTGGCCTGGCCTGTTGACGTTGCATCATCATCGCCGCGTTGCAGCTGTAGGGTTGCAGGCGTTGTTCCTGGGAACACTTGAGCTAAGGTCCGAATCCACCCCTTGACAGAACGCTTGATTAACTGGGACATATTCAATGCAGCAGCTGCCAACAAGAGTGGTGAGGCGGGGTTGTCTGGTAGGATCTCGTAAGCTGGAACACATCTCAACCCTGATGCCGCAGGGGCTCTTCTTCGAGCGAGCCTGGAGTGTGGCTCGCTGGGCAGCTCCTTCGCTTCAGATCCGGCGACACAAGCCTTGCTGCTCGGCGCGCCTGCCATGACAGATCATGGCAGCTGAGAGCACGGACTCAGCTTGCTCAAGTAGCATCTGCGTGTTTTTTCCTCCTGCAAGGCATGGAGCACTTCCAGGACCCTGCAATGGCCAAAATCGTGCGGAATGCAGACGCACATCTTTTCGAGAAGTTTGGTTATAGCCATTGCTGCACCTCGAGTTCGCACCGAATCTGGTGAGTCAATTGGGCCACAATCACCCGGACACAAGACGTCTGCAGACCACACATGCCAGATGACGTGAACAGCTTCAATCCGGTGCTGATCTCAAAATCTCAAAGGTTCTTCGCTCAAGACCTGCAGTGTGGCGTTAGCTTGCACCGGGTCTCTTCGAATGCATCGGCTGGAACTTGTTCAGCGGCTCAGCTTGCCCGTGACGCCCCTGTATGTGACGCGGAAGGACAAGCAGAAGTGGTGAAGAAAGAGTTGTGGCCTGTGACAATTGGCGGAATGAGCTCGCAAACCCGAGTGCAACTTGAAGCCGGTGGTGGTCTATGCCTGGGCCAGCGAGTCCACGGCAAGGCCAGAAATTCAAGGCTGCACTTGCGGGACGAAGGGCAAAAATGTGTCTGCCGCAGAAAGTCTGCTAACTGTCGTCGCGTATCGAAAAAAATGATCCAGCACACAATTTGGATGGAAAGAAAGCCGACCGTCGGATGGACACCGTTGGTCACGCTGAATCTCTGCACTGACATGCTGCCAAAAGATCAGAGGCACTGTACAGGCATGCGAAATGATGCCAGGCTTAGCGTGGTACTTTGCAAGTTGGAAGGAATGTCAATGCTGCAGAATGCGGCTTCTGAGGATTAGTCCGCGCTGAATCACGTTGACACAGCATTGTAAGAAGCCTGGATAGCTGCCCATATTAGGGTGCCAGACTCCTTGTATAACCCTAGAGTCCGGTGCCTCAAAGAGACTTCAAAGTGATATCGACAATTATTCTAGCGTCTACATCATTATAGATGGACCCAAAGAGTGAAGACAGGTCTGACAAGGTCAACATGTGCCTTTCGTGAACCCGTGCGATTACATTGGCGGTAACCGTGCTTGGTTGACAGTCAACTGACGGCAGATGCTGCTTTGTGCATAAGGCATAAGGGGTAAGTAACCATCACAGACTTGCAGGTGCCAACAAGACTCCTCCACCGCCTCCTCCGCCTCCCCCACCTCCAGCATGGGACTTAGACCAGCTTGCAATGCCGTGCTGAGTTTACTAGACGAGAATGACAATAAAGAGGATTTGTCTCTGAGACACTGCCGTGCCCTTTGTTGACGCTTCTTAGGCACGGATACCGCGCGACAGTTTCACGGAGGAGACTGACGATTTGAATCCCCGAGCTGCTTTTTTCAGCAGGTATCCCGACTCCAAGCACGGCTCACAAATGCATCCAACGCTGCAGGACCATGCTCCTCCAGGCTTTTAAGGCAGAACGGCTCTGGGTTGGGTAGTGCTGTAAAGATTGCGGTGACCTGTCCATTTTCCGCTGAAGTGCGAAAGCATGCGTCAGGCCTTCAACAAGAGCATTTGGAGTCGACTGATGGAATCTTCAGCATAGATCCACTAGACACAGGCGCAACAAATCTCATGGGGCCGGAGTATGAGCTGCTTCAAGTCAAGAGTACCTTGGTCATTGTGCTCATGTTCGAAACGAGATTGTCACAGATTTTTCCAGCAAGCCAGTGTCCAGAGTCGATTGTTTTCACCTGAATTTCATGGCCTGTGAGTGTGTAATGCACAATCACAGGCCGTCAGCAAGCAGTATTAAGCCGTGTCTTCACGAGTCCTTTGGCCTCTAAGAGTATGCAGCTAGCTATGAATGCACTGTGTTTGTCATACTCGCTCCTAGAGGGATTGCTCCAAACAAGAGCATGCCACCTCTACCATCTGCACATCCTAGCACGAATCCTTCTGGCTATGCAATCCAGTTTCTCTATTTCCCGCAAAAGTTAATAGCACGGGTATATAGAGGCCGAAGGGAAATTTCACAGCAGCAGCTCAGGGCCACGGGCCCAACCGCCCCCTTTTTGGGCCTCACAGCATACAACAGCAAATGCTAGTTTAAGCAATGGTTTCATGAGTTGGCCAGTAATTCTTCTGTGCTACGCGTGATCAATGTCCAGTGATTGATCGAGGTTAGCGTGGGTTGATGGGGCAGGGGCGCGTCCCGCGCCACCATCGTGGACCTCTAGGTTCACCACGCTCCTGCGGGCAGTTGCGCAGTCCGGTGACATAATTTCAGCATGTCAGCTTGCCCCAACAAGCACCACCAAAGTTCGCTGGAGTGCGTGGCCACCTGCAAAAGATGCCCTCTTGCTTTGGACTCGGCTATGGGAGGTGGCAAAAAGTGCTCCCGAACGGAGGGATGATAGAATTTACCTGTATCTCGCTTGTGAATGTTTTCAGCAGGTGTACAGTGTACGTGCTTAGTTGCAGGGCTTTGGGCTCTCAATGACAGCTTTAGCTGCATTCCTAAAAAAGCCACTGACAACAGCTTCGGTGCGCAAACAGGCTTCGGCTTCAGCGCATATTTCGCTCAAGCACGAATGCGCGGCAAAGCACAGACCTCGGATGCACTCAGCGTGCCGGCCGCTATCAGAATGTAAATAATGCAACAAGCTCAAACCGGCGGCATTGCACCCGACCGTTGACAGCTCAGGCCGTTGCGCTCGTTCTGCTGGCATCCATGTGCTGCTTTATTGTGGGCATTGCCAGGGCCTGAGGCTGTGCGTTGCTGCGCTGTTTGCGGAACCTCCGCTGGCTTCCTACACGGTCAACTTGTTTAAGCACATCATGAGGCTTGTTGATTTTGAAAGTTGGGGGATGTGTCAGATGGGCTAACATGTGAAGTCAAGCGTTGCCTGGCCTGCTTGAAGGTTGCTTCACGATGTCCGGAGAACATCTAACAGTATGTTCGCGCACCCAAGTATTGAAAGACGGTTTAGCATTCCGAGATATCCAAAAGCACACAACCTCACGATGGATTCCTCCAGCCCTTTTGAGCCCCGAAACTGAAATCCGAAATGGAAAGCCCTTGAGGTTTTATTTTTCTGGCCTGTGGCGCCCCCGCCGGAGCCCCCCTCGCCCAGACCTCAGACCTCAATGTCTGTGTCCTGTGCAAGACATTGTGGGACTTGTACAGGGTCTGAGTAGTTCTCAGAAGTGCGACAAGTTTTCGGAAGGCCCCTTCTTCAACCGTCTTTTGGTACAGGCACATGGCGGGTACAAACGTCCTTGTGGTAAAAGCCGTGTAATAGTTAAACATGCCTATATATGAGACTAGACCAAAAACGTGCATGTGAGACACCAAGCGCAAGCCCCAAGCCTTCTGCTATGCCGGCTTTGTCTTACGCAAGCCCTATTCACAGGATCTCTGCATGGGCTCAGAAGTGACGACACGACTCCTGTTGTTTGTACTGTAGGTTTGAGTGGGGTCGTAAAACAGGAGAACTAGAGTTGCAACTGCTGTACACATGAACCTCCAAGAGCCCCATAGAATTATGGGAATTTATCAAAATACCCTACAGTGGACCCTTCATAACCCCCTTGAACTCCGCGAACCCAAAGGTGTCTTCACTTTAAAAGATGATGTAATCGTTTCCCCCTAATCTTAAACGACGTCCCCCCGCCTCCCCCGCCGCCCCTAACATTAAATATTTCCGGCCACGGATTGTTTAACATTAGGCGGTGATTTATTGAGACAACTCCATGGAAACGTAATAATAACTGCAGTGATTCAATCAGTTATTTAACTAAATTTTCAAATCAACTACGTATTTACTTGATTTTAATCCATTGCAAGCCATTGTTAGCTGGCCCATTTCAAAATAGTCTTCCCCCTTAAAAGTACTCTTCAGGAAATTTAGGCCACTGAATTTGCTATGTAATACACGGGAGTTTTGATATTAGGGAGAAAGGATTTTCCCAAATTTCATGAAGGTTGCAGCTCTCGATCTGCAGCCAGGCACAGCTTCGGCTTGTTCCGGCACAACGTGGCCTGGGCCGGTCCGGCCAAGGATGGGAAGCTTGCGGTAGGGGTTGAGGGCTTAGAATCCACTTATTTAGGTTTCGTGGGTTAAGAGTTGACGGTGCAGGCTTTCATGTTTTGGAGTGGATGCTACAGGTCATCTCCTTGTGCATTGCATCTAGCTTCTGCGGCAGTTTCCGGAAATGAAGGATTTTTGTCGGTAACTAATGTGCCGCGTCCTTCCTACAATGACAACTGGAGCCGTTCATGGGACATTTTCAGCGGCAAGTGAGAGATTGCTGCAGATCTGACATAAGTTGGAGTAAGCTGATACGAAAAAGAGCAAAAAGTTGGTCACGAAACCTAAGCAATTTTACGGATTGTGATATCCGAAATAGAAAAGGAGTGTCTAGTAGTAGGTTGCGTAATGGCGATTTAACAAAAGCTAATCAGAAACCTTGGAAAGCCATGCCAGTAAACATTGGGCTGCAGTGAAAGTATGTTCTTAAACACGGCGCTTCGCAAATTCCAAATCTCACGTTGAAGACAGCAGAATCCATACTGATGAAAGAGACTTCTGGACATCAACGCGTGCAGGAATTAAGCACGTGGTAAACGCCATGGCCAACATACCATGGATTGAAAACACTCGTAAGGTGGTGGTGTTTGCAGAGAATAGAAAACTGTTTGCTGAAGTTGTGGATGTAAGAGCATCAGGTACTCGGCGACAAGAACACAGCCGCAGGAAAATTACATACCATGATACTTAATTATTGTCTACAAAAACTCTTCTTAGAATGTAGTTGCCATCTCCCAGTTCAGGCTTTAAGATTTGGATTCAGTGTTCCCTGTAGGGGCCGCAAGGCCCGGACGCATTTAAAACCTCCATCATTTCCCCGATCAGGTCTGGAGTGCTTGCAGAAAGGATGAGAGAATGTGGTTGGGATTAGGAGTTGAGTTGGATTGGGATTTCCATGTAGGGATGCGGCTATGAAACCGTGAGGGTCTACAGGCCATGTGTGGTACGAACCGGCAAATGCCCCTTGCTAGGTCCGCTAGCGCATGCTGTCAGCCCCATTTGCCTGCAAATGCATAACAATTTCTCTTTTTGCAGAGCCATTGTCGACTGTCTGGCAGGCGTTGGGTCACCTCAGATTAAGAGGGTCCTGGGCACAGCTCAGCACCTAGCTTTGTTAGCAGCTTCAGGTTTGCTCT